CCCCGCCCCCCAAAAAAGAGAAAGATTTGTTTTGTTAAATATCAGTTACATTTGATTTTTTAAATTCAAAATTAGGACATTACTTTATCTCCTGAACCTCCTTTTGCCTAGGGGATTTACATACACCTTCTAATATATGCTGTAGGTCACATCCAGCTTTTAAACATCTGAAAAAAAATGTTTCCCTCTGTTTTCTCCCTTATAACAAGTACACTGGCGAATGTTAAGCTCTTTGCAGATTTGACTTCAATTCCTGAGGGAAGAGGTATTTTTTTATTGCATATCTCTCCTTATTTGTCTGCTGGGAGGTTGTATCCGTCTCCGCCCGGATAGGCCCTTCCTGACGACCAGGATCGAAACATCCCACCTCTTAAATGATCTAAATTGTGTTAATTGAGGCGTAAAAAAACCCACAGTTGCAGTAACAGTTACATAAGTAAGTGCAACGATTTGATAATGTGTATATGTATAAATAATGTATAAATTTTATATATACACAAACAGACACACATATATATATATATACATATATACTCCCTTTGTATGAAAGAGTTGATGACTCGTTTGCTACTTTTGAGACGCTTGTTAATTTGGTGCCATGTTGTTATTTGTTTACAAACATTGTTATGGAGTTTGAAATTGTCTCCTGTTTGCACCTCTGGGGTCGCGAGACAGGAGGGCATGAGGATAGATGGAACCTGCCATTCGCTCTGCTTGTTGTGTCATAATTTGAAGTCGAAAGATTATTTTAAATGGTGGAGAGCATGATTTTGTGTATGGATTCTGGATGGGATGAAGGGATGTATTGTGTGCCTGTGATCTGATGTAGGAATGATGCGCCGTTCCGCAATCCGGTGTTTTTCTCAAATTAAAATTATCAGCTAGTTTGTTAATGAAAAGTAACCGCGTTTTGAAGCCTGTGACTTTTTAAGAAATAATTTTTGGGAGTAATTTCAGTTCATTGTGGTCAGAGAAAATTTGCTCTCCTGTTTGGAATTCGTGTTCTTTTTGATTGATCGGTTTTTCGTGAAAGATGGGCTTCTTTAGATAAGGGGGTTAGGGGGAATGTGTGTGTGTGTGTGAGGGGGGTGGGGGGGAGGATGGAGGCAAAAAATCCACACTAATGTCCTAAAGTCCGACTCACAGGGTATTATCTCCAGTGCTCCGAGTGTGTTCACTTTTGGTCTCTTGAGACTGACTCCTGTTTTTGATCAGGGGAGGGGGTGGGTGGGTTTCGTTTCCTAATTATAGTGGTCATAGTGTGCAGGTACTCACGTGAGTGTTTTTGCATGTGTGCTTGCTTGTGTGTGTGTGTATGTGTGCCTGTGAATATATATATATGTGTGTGTGTGTGTGTGTGTGTGTGAGTTTTATGGTTGTGCTGAGACTAGCAAGGAGTCACCCTCCATGCTGTAGACTGAGTTAACTGAGAAAACCTATACACTACTCATTGTGGTTGCAGGATGGCTGGAAGGTGACACTGGTAGGTCCTATTTTTTTCCTTTCCCTCAGTTGTGTGTGTCTGACTGCCTGTGTGCGCATGATCACTGATGATCGATGATGATGGTGCTGATAATGTTAATAATGACAATGATGATGACTATGTTTCTTTGTTTTGAAGTGCTAACAGTTTCGTGCCATAGTTGTTGTATACTGCAGGCCTTTCCTTCCGCATGAGAAGTGTGGTGGTGGTGGTGGTGGCGGTGCGGGTATGGGAGGGGGTTTGAGGGGCGTGAGGCTCTGTCATCATCCACAGTGAGGGTAGCAGGCGTCTGGGTGTGTGTTTGTGAGTGTGTGCGGGCGTGTGCGTGTGTGTGTGTGTGTTTGTGTGTGTGTATTAATCAGATAGCATACTTTGCTGACAACATGGGATTCTTTGGTTATTTTTTCCCCCTCCCCTACACATATACTAGTCTTCTACAATCCTCCCCGTATCAAGTCGAAAAGAAAACAATTGGTCATTTCATGCTCTGTGTGTCATGTCAGCATACACTGACTCTGTGGGTGGTTGGTGGGTGCTCTGGTGTGATTTGCTCCTTCTGTCCTATCATCAGACATTTATTGTCCTTATCTCTCCTCCTTCTTTTTTGTGTGTCTTACTATCTTGTAACACTTCTAATCTTCAGCACTTATAAGACCCTATTTTAAGTGCAAGTGTCGTAAAACCTGGTAATAAAACTAATACACTGACACTACTTTTGAATACGCATCAGAATGTCGGCAGATACCTGTTGATTAGTTAAAAATAAGTTGTTAGTTAAACTGTGAAAGGTTTCCCCCTTGCAAAATGAATAAACAAATAAATAAATATACAAATATATATATAAATGAAATAAATCGTTATCAAGTGCCAGATCTGTGACAGGGTTGGCCCTGACAAGGCAGG